GGGGAGTGTCACTAGCATTGCTCAATTTCTATACCTAATGCCACTGTTGAAAATGGAGCAGTTGAATTATTCAGCCGTTTACAGCAACTTGGGATTCATTGTCTGTCCTTTTCTTTCTCACTTCCGTACTTCATATATTTCAACTATTTACACATCAACCAACAAATATTATGGAGACTTTCAACACACGCACAAAAAAAAAATTTGAAAAAGAAAAAGAATGACGAAGACAAGACACCACAAATAGTAGTAATGACTAATGCGCTACGCATGGCGTAGAGCTGGCCTGGCCTTGCAAGTTGGTAGTTGCAAGTTGCAACGAAATAAAATAAGATGATATTTATTTATTTCATTCATTCAGAAATTAGTGCTGACCCAACCAACCCCAATAAATTGCTTGTATTCATTTCAATGGAAAAGTGTTTATCCACAAGTCTAGTCAATCCAAAAAAACGATCTGCCTCCTATCCTATCCTATCAACACATCTCAACTAAAACATACAAATAAACTGCTTCTATTTCATTTCAATGGAAAAGTGTTTATCCGCAAGTCAAGTCAACCCAAATAAAGAATCTGCCTCCTATCCTATCCTATATCAACACATCTCAACTAAAGCATACAAATACAAATTATTATTAGTATAAAATTCAGAGTTACTCTTAGAAATATATATATAGTACCTCCAAAATAGGAAGGCAGGTCAGGTTGAGGTGGATATAAAATGTACTAGTTAATGAACCGAGGAATCCTGAACGCAGTAGTAAATAAAAGAAAAGAAAAGACCCATGCCAAACTCCATTACTCTCCTTTCAAACGAAGGGAAAAAAAAGGGGAACCTGTCAGTGGGTTGGTAACGGTAATAATAATCTGTTAAAAGTACTGCTGCTCCAGATTGAATTGTACAAAATCATTCCCCATACCCAGAAATACTACAAAGGACAAGTCCTTCCCCTCTGCCCTCGTTTTGACCCACCTTCACTACAAGAATTCACTGTATCACCGACGAGTGGCCATGTCAGAAACCAGAGGGAATCTGGTCGGTGAAGTAATATTCCCACTTGAATCACGTCGGTGTTGGGTTGCTCGATGAAGCCCGGCTCGGTGATTCAAACACCGACGTAGATGGAAATCACGTCGGTGAATGCACCCATAATTACCGACAAAGAACATCTTGAAAAAAGGGAGCCGGAAACTTCATCGGAAAAGAGCTCTAGTTCCACGTCGGTAAATCACCGACAAGCATAACCTCTGCATGCACACAGCAGCCTCGTGCCCAGCGCCTATCACCGACGAATATCACGTCTGACAATTCAGGAAAAATGATTCACAGTTCGAGGCATGTTTGTAAATCATCGACAAAAACCACGTCTGAACTACACAAAAATCTTCCCTCCAGTTTTTAATGATCTCCAAAATGTTAGGCGCCAAATGTTTCAGGCGCCAATTTTTTGATTTTTGTTTTCCTAATTACCGACGAGAATCATGTTGGTAATTGACCTGAAAAAATAAAAAAAAATATTTGAATTCAGCTCATATTAAAATTAATATATATTTATTGTTTAATTAAATTAATTTACAATTAAACATTAAGTAATTCGTAATATTTAATATTATAAAAAATAAGTATAATAT